GTATTTTGCACGTTTATATCATTTTAATAGAGAAGGGATCCCACCTGCGTCGAGTGACTCGTAAAAGAAATACTTTCACCATTATTTATTTCATAGATTTATTTCTCACCCCCAGAACCACAACATAACCACCCCTCCCACCTCTATCGCTTCATCAACAAATTATTGATGTATGTAGGCAAGTGGGCTGCTAGCAGCAACAGCTTGGTTGAACAGGCAATCAACAAGGTAGCCTGGCCTCAGGCTGTGGGATTCGATGATAAATAAACTCTTGATACCAGACACAGGTAACCGGGTTTTCTAAGTCCCTTCATAATTGTTAACATATGCTCACACTCCAACAGCACGTCAAATCCCAAAGGAAACCCTTGTCTCCACTCACTCTTCTGATATATTTATATAATATATATATATATATATATATATATATATATATATATATATATATATATATATATATATATAGATCACGCTGAGTACGAACACGGTGTATTTACAATGAGAGATGCACACCTACTTAACAATAGAAATATGTAACTTTGACCTGACCTATCTAGTTTTGTCTAGCTGAACTGAATGACTAACACAAACCCAGCTTGGATTATCTGCTGTCTTGACCCAACTAACTGGCTGACTCTGACGACACATAACCTACTGGCTGACATGCCTGACTGACACTATACCTAGCCTGGCTAATCCATGATTGATATATAACTAGCTGGCTGAATGCTTATGACACTAACTAACTGTGAATGCTGACTGACATAACTAGCTGTGAATGCTGACGCACTAACTAGCTCTGAGCATCTGTATTGCACTAACTAACATGGCAGACCACCTAGACTTACCTAACAAGCCTGCATGTACATTTGACTGACACTAACTAGCCGTTTGGCTGACATGCCTGATGACTAACCTAACCTGGTGACATTGCCTGACTGACACAACCTAGCCTGGCTGCATGCCTGACTGACACTAACCTAGCCTGGCTGACATGCCTGACTGACACTAACCTAACCTGGCTGACATGTCTGACTGACACTAACCTAGCCTGGCTGACATGCCTGACTGACACTAACCTAGCCTGGCTGACATGCCTGGCTGACACTAACCTAGCCTGGCTGACATGCCTGGCTGACACTAACCTAACCTGGCTGACCAGCCTGACTGACACTAACCTAGCCTGGCTGACCTGCCTGGCTGACACTAACCTAGCCTGGCTGACATGCCTGACTGACACTAACCTAGCCTGACTGACATGCCTGACTGACACTAACCTAGCCTGGCTGACATGCCTGACTGACACTAACCTAACATGGCAGACCAGCCTGACTGACACTAACCAAGCCTGGCTGACATGCCTGACTGACACTAACCTAGCCTGGCTGACATGTCTGACTGACACTAACCTAGCCTGGCTGACATGCCTGACTGACACTAACCTAGCGTGGCTGACATGTCTGACTGACACTAACCTAGCCTGGCTGACATGCCTGACTGACACTAACCTAGCCTGGCTGACATGCCTGACTGACACTAACCTAGCCTGGCTGACATGCCTGACTGACACTAACCTAACATGGCAGACCAGCCTGACTGACACTAACCAAGCCTGGCTGACATGCCTGACTGACACTAACCTAGCCTGGCTGACATATCTGACTGACACTAACCTAGCCTGGCTGACATGCCTGACTGACACTAACCTAGCGTGGCTGACATGTCTGACTGACACTAACCTAGCCTGGCTGACATGTCTGACTGACACTAACCTAGCCTGGCTGACATGCCTGACTGACACTAACCTAGCCTGGCTGACATGCCTGACTGACACTAACCTAGCCTGGCTGACATGCCTGACTGACACTAACCTAGCCTTACTGACATGTCTGACTGACACTAACCTAGCCTAGCTGACATGCCTGGCTGACACTAACCTAGCCTGGCTGACATGCCTGGCTGACACTAACCTAACCTGGCTGACATGCCTAGCTGACACTAACCTAACCTGGCTGACATGTCTGACTGACACTAACCTAGCCTGGCTGACATGCCTGGCTGACACTAACCTAGCCTGGCTGACATGCCTGGCTGACACTAACCTAACCTGGCTGACATGCCTGGCTGACACTAACCTAACCTGGCTGGCATGCCTGACTGATACTAACCTAGCCTGGCTGACATGCCTGGCTGACACTAACCTAGCCTGGCTGATACTAACCTAGCCTGGCTGACATGCCTGGCTGACACTAACCTAGCCTGGCTGATACTAACCTAGCCTGGCTGACATGCCTGGCTGACATTAACCTAACCTGGCTGACATGCCTGGCTGACATGCCTGGCTGACATTAACCTAACCTGGCTGACATGCCTGGCTGACATGCCTGGCTGACATTAACCTAACCTGGCTGACATTAACCTAACCTGGCTGACATGCCTGGCTGACATGCCTGGCTGACATTAACCTAACCTGGCTGACATGCCTGACTGACACCAAGTT